ACAGACTATGGGTTTTCTGAACCTGCTTTAGAGAGAAAATCCATTTAAACAAGGTCTCCTACAATAAGAAACTGTAACCCTTATCACTTTATCACAGCCAGTATTGATACATCTTGGTGTCTAAGTGTATGGCTAGGTATTTGTTCATCCAGTGATTCGGTAAAACTAAACCTGAGAGATGTTAAATGCCTAAGATCATCTCCAGTCTGATGTATAGTTCCTCAGCTGGGTTGTTGAAGAGGGCATAGGACAGAGAGAGTCTTTTTTCAGGAAAGCTTTGCTGAACTGTGTGCTATGTATTGGGTACAAATGTTCCAGTTTCAGTCTCAGGATGGAGTCATGGGAGTCTCAGATTTAAACTGTATCTACTCTCTTTTCCTTTTCAGACTGATGCCTGCTCTGGGCTGCAGGGATTCCTGATTTTCCACAGCTTTGGTGGGGGCACAGGATCTGGATTTACTTCCTTGTTGATGGAACGGCTCTCCCTGGACTATGGCAAGAAATCCAAACTGGAGTTTGCCATCTATCCTGCCCCTCAAGTCTCTACTGCTGTAGTGGAGCCCTACAACTCCATCCTGACCACCCATACCACCCTGGAGCACTCAGATTGTGCCTTCATGGTGGACAATGAGGCCATCTATGACATCTGCCGCCGCAACCTGGACATTGAACGCCCCTCTTACACCAACCTTAACCGCCTCATCAGCCAGATAGTCTCCTCAATTACAGCCTCTCTGCGCTTTGACGGGGCCCTCAACGTGGATCTGACAGAGTTTCAGACCAACCTGGTACCCTACCCACGCATCCACTTTCCCCTGGTGACCTATGCACCCATCATCTCCTCTGAGAGGGCCTACCATGAGCAGCTGTCTGTAGCAGAAATCACCAGTTCCTGCTTTGAGCCCAACAACCAGATGGTGAAGTGTGATCCACGGCATGGGAAGTACATGGCCTGCTGCATGCTGTATCGGGGTGACGTGGTCCCCAAAGATGTCAATGTAGCTATTGCTGCCATCAAGACCAAGAGAACCATCCAGTTTGTGGACTGGTGTCCCACAGGCTTCAAGGTGAGGAAGGCAAAAGTGCACTGCCCTTTTTTTTTTTTTTTTACTAAAGATACATTGTGAAGTAGTCCAGACTACTGGTCTTTTGGTTCTGCTGGCCAGATGAGTGGCACAGAGCCTGTCCATGAGCTGAATCAGGCCCTGGGGCCTCGCACCACCCGCTCCTTGCTCCACATGTTGGGATTGAGCCCTGGGGCCCTGCACCACTCCACTGCTGCCAAACTTCCAGACCCATGGGGAGCCTGTGAGGTGTTGTGAGTTGGGTCTGGCACACAGACTGGGGTTGAGCACACCTGGTCTAGACTAATGTGTGGTTTCACTTCTCTGCTACTTACACTTGTGAGAGAAATGAATGGTTAGGAGTGTGTGTGTGTGTGTGTGTGTGTATAATCTGCAGTGTCTCTTTTGGAATTTGGATATTTTTGTTGATGCAGCCCCCTAAGCATCAGCTTGTTTGGCAGCCTAGGAAATGTCAACTCTAAAGGAAGTTTTAAACTAAAGAGGTGTTAAATTAGGAATTAAAATCTAAAGAAGCTGGTCAGACTGTCCCCTAAACTATCAATATAATTTTAAAAACAAATAGAATCCATCTTGTTAAATAAGACATGAATGTGATTTTTCGGTCATGAACCCCCACTGCTGGCTATTCAGCAGTACTGACAGACTAGATTTCCAGAGGCTAACAGCAGCAAATATGGAAAACTAATCTACATTTCTCAGGGGATGGGCCCTGATTTGAAAGTTTGTAGGTGGAACATATTTTCCTTATGGCTGGATACAACAATGTAATTCATGTTGAGCAGCAGTTGTGGGCATTAAACACTGAGAAGAATATAGATAATCTCAGTGACATTTAACTATAGAGTGCATGACCCCTCTTGGTTCCCTGTGCCCAGTTTAGTTGTTCTGCTTTGTTTTTTGTGGGTTATAGCTGAACAAGGAATAGTTGAATAAAGGGCAACTTATATGATATTTGACTTTACATAATTTCAGTACTCTGTTTTTAGCTTCACACCTGCCCCCTTTCCACCCACCTGTGATGTTTCTTGTTTTTATTGTCCTTTTCTTTAACTTTTGTTTTCTTTCCTCAACTTAATTCTTACCTCCAGGTTGGCATCAATTACCAGCCTCCCACTGTGGTTCCTGGAGGAGACCTGGCGCAGGTGCAGCGTGCAGTTTGCATGCTAAGCAACACCACAGCCATTGCTGAGGCCTGGGCAAGGCTGGACCACAAGTTTGACCTGATGTATGCCAAGAGGGCATTCGTGCACTGGTATGTTGGTGAAGGCATGGAGGAAGGGGAGTTTTCAGAGGCCCGAGAGGACTTGGCTGCACTGGAAAAGGACTACGAGGAAGTGGGAACTGACTCAGTTGAAGAAGAAAATGATGGGGAGGAATTTTAAAATACACTTTGTCCTTCACTTAGCATGGAATTGCCTCTGTGTTTCTCTATTGCATGTGTGTACTGTCCTGTCTGGCAACCTATGTTCATGTAAAATGTAGACAATGAAAATTAAAGGGCCAGTAAAGGTCTCCTCAAATCACAGGGAAATTATCTTTTGGAATATGACCACCTGAGCTGAATGCATTAACCCTACTCAATGCTTAAAGGAAAGCAGTTTAAGTTTTATTTATTGTCAATTCAGCTTGGGAGAAATGAGTTTCTTAGTCCCACTCAATTACCAGTTTAACCCACTGCATCTGTATTAAAATCACTATCATTCAGCCCCCAGGCTGAGTTATACAAATCTGTAAAATAATCATAGGGAAACACTGTAGATAGAACAAATTTGACTTATCCCTACCTTTTGTTGCTCGGGGTGCTGGGAGATGTGAAAACAGATAAATGAGCCCACCTTTGCTTCACAGTTTGGCTCTTTCTTCAGTCTGTATGTGAATGAGTGACCAACACGAGATGTGTCTGTTCTTTTGTTCTGTGGAACTTTCATTTCTGATAGAAATATGGAATTTTGTGCAGTTTTTGGAAATATTTGTCCTTTCTTGTGGCAGCAGTTTTTATTGGGCACAGGAACTCTAAAATTGTAGCATATAAAAGGAGATTTTCCCCCTTTGTGTTCCTGTGAAATTGTTGCAATTTGATAATTCCCTGATGTATGGAAAATTGTTTGCACCATCTTTCATGAGTTCTGAAGGTCCCAAAGTCTCTTACTCCATTTGAGTGGTTCTTCTCTCTTCTGCAATCCTTGCTCCATCCAGAAACAACTTGTGCTGCCTGTGGCATCCTTGATTTAATGGTGGATGATGCCATCTGAAAGTGGACAATCAATGCAATAATTTAAAAAGGCAAAATAATTTGAATAACGGTGAGCAAAGATCACAATGTATCACAGTATGTCAGTCAGTTCCAGTCATTATTGTCTACGAAAACTCCACAAACTTTTATCAAAAAGCCTCACCTGTACTCTACCTGTAGTTAAAAGTTCCCAGTGCAACATTATCTTACAGGTGTTGTACACTCTGCATGTTTTACATATTTAATTATATAAGTAGTAATATACTAAACATCATACTTAAGACGTAGTGTCTCAGTTTAGAAAAATGTCCCTCTTCAGGATAGATTTCATCAGGTGCTCTAAGTACACAGGTAATTATCAGTGATGCTATGGCAACTTAGGAACATGTTTAAGTGGTTTTCTAAATAGTACTGTCCTGAACTGGGGTCTGAACCAGTAACAGAAAATATTTAATGTAAAAGCATCTAAACTAATGCAATTGTTGCAAAGCTTAAGTTGTTCCATTGCTGGCTTTGTGATTTTAACTGTTAAATTCCTACTGTGTATTCCTGGAAGCATTCTGCATTGAATTTCTTTACTTGGATTCTTGTTTTGTAAGGAAACAGGAAAAATAGATAAATCAAAAAGAGAATATTTGACAAAAATATGGCAGTTCAAAGGTTTTTTTAGTTCTTGGAAAATTACAAAAATATCTGATTTTAGACAAATTTAATGGCTTTCTTCTGAAATGTGTGCACTTCTGAAAAAAATGGATGACAGTGCAGGAAACACTAAGAGTAAAGGTAAAACTACAGTGAAACCTCTGAAGCATACCCAGCAACCCAGCATCCTGCCAAGGTTTTTAACACTTTAGTTATATAGGAAAAGATTTCAAGACTGCTCAACTGTCATTTATTTTTCATGGGAATTGGGGGCACAGCTCATGTAGGTGCTTCTAAAAATCTTCCTCATTGTAGTTTAATATTATAATTATAATTATAGCTATTATAGTATATTCCTATTGCAGGGGCATTTGAGGATCACGGTCTCATTGTTGCAGGCACTGTATAAATAGATAACACTTAAGCAATCCCTGCCTTAGAAAAAATACATTCTACAATTATTTTAGTCCCTCCCCTCTATCACAGAGGTTCTTATGTGGGGAATGCAGTCTTTAATATGAGGCTGGGCAGCATCTGTTGGTGTCCCTTCTGTGGCGGCGAGGCATCACCACAGGCTCCCGAAGGGGAGAGAGTGAACCCTGAGGGCCCCATACCCCAGGAGCAGGCCCCCAGCAGAGCTAACTTACCTCCCGCAGGGCAGCCAGAGCAGGAGCCATCATGGCAATCATGATTAGCACATCCTGCCACCCAACCCCCAAGTAGTTTTCTAGATCTGAATTTCAGCTTTCAGTTCTCATAATACACTGGTGGATGACTTGCTTGTTTAAAATGTGTCCTTAGCAGATACAATTAATTTTAACTTCTCAGGTTCTGTGCATGTTGTCCTAGCACAGTGGTTCTCAACCTTTTTTGTACCAAGACCCATTTGTAAACATTGACGGCCAGTCCTGACTCAATGCCCCCCACTCCCCCTCACCTCCCAGTGTGTGGAGCAGGGGTGGGTGTGTGGGGCAGAGGTAGCCGCTTGCAGGTTGGAACTCTGACAGCCTGCAAGGGGAAAGCCATGGTTTCCCAAATTTTCCTCCTTTAAAGGAGAATTCATTTTTAAAGGTTGTTTGCAACCCTTTCATATAGTCTTGTGACCCACTTTTGGGTCATGACCCACAGGTTGAGAAATGCTGTCCTAGCAGACATCTTTGGAGACTTGGGTGGGAGAAGGCAAGTCAAGAAAAAGAAAAAATGCATCTTCTTGTTTGGCTTTTCCCTGGATTAACAGGCAGAGGGTAGATGGTATTCAAAGACAAGCAGCATTTTTTTCGCATGCCTGGGAATTTCATCACTTGGATGGCACCTTGCCCATCATTCATGATGGAAAAAAATTGTAAAATATGGCTGATTGAAAAGGTCTTCCTCAGAAATGAAATAAAGCTTAGGATGCAGGCACAAATATCCAAGGGCACCCAACCCTATTTTCAAGCTCTGGAGTGAAGCTGAATCAGAATATTGTTCGGTCCCATGCGCAATTCATTACATTAACAAGCTCATCTAACCTTATTCCAACCCGGCTGTTGGTCCAATAAAAACTATCACCCCCCCCCCATAAAAATCCTTGCCTCTCATAATATCATTAGACAATATCTTAATAAAAGAGGAAGCACTGCAGCACAGAAATGACTCCTCTGATTGATCCCTTTCCTAATACCATATACTTTCTAATATAGAATGCCTGTGCAATTTATCCTGTACTTTTGACCACTATCAAATGTATGTTTGTGACATACATTTGTATTTTTGTAGGCAGTGTATCCTTCTGAGACATAATGGGCATGTCTACACATTTTCATTAATGCATGATAATTACATAGTAGCGCAAATTAACTTTTTTTTGGTGACACAATGCTTATTGGACTAAGTCTACTGTGCTTTAGTGAAAGCAAATGCTTTTTTTGTGATGCTTAATGCTCATTGGACTAATCTACTGTGCATTAGTGCATTAGCACAGTTTTTACCAGCTGCGCTAATGCACAGTACAATAAGTCTGGGCATTGCCAAAACACTTTCCCAAATAAACACCTCGTCTCCCGCCCAACAATGCAACAACCAGGCTTCAACCTTCCACAGAGCATGTGGACAGCCCTTAATAGGATATGCACTGGATGTGGCCGGTGTGGCCACCTGATGTACAAGTGGCACCTAAAAGCCTCGCCTGGCTGCAATGGTGGGAACCCTGACCGAACCATGGAGCACATCACAACATCCTGCCCCAGATACAACTTTGAGAGTGACATCCTGGAGTTACACTTGCTTTCCTGCAGGGCATCGGTCTGGTTGGGGAATTTGGAATGAAAACTGTGACGAAACGTCTTGCTTCTAAAGCCATATGAACAGTGCTGGAGCAACAAAGCTTGGCGCCTGGGGCAAAGTCTGCAGTGGCAGTCTGCCCTTGCCCTGATGCAGGGGGCAAATGCCCCCCATGCTTGCCCAGGAGTGCATGCAGCAGTGGGAGCCACCCCCATCCCCGCGTCCCCGAAACGAGCCACTCGCGGCACTGTCCCATGCCCCACCTTGGCTGGGCAGCACATGTTGGTGCCCCTTCGCTTTGGTGCCCGGGGCAGTTGCCATGCTTGCCCTCCCTTGCTATGGCACTGCATATGAAAGAAATGAGTGTAGACATGCACCTTATTTCTAACCCCCCAGCTTTTAGTGCTCACCTGTTTTTACAATACATCTGCTTGTCACACAAAGGGTTGCCTTCACCCCCTCTCCCTCAGATGTGACTCCCCCCCGTCCCCAGGGCTATTTCTAGTCCACCCGGACAGGGATTTTCAGCCATCAGTGACTTAATTTTGAGCCCGGCATACGCTTGGCTGACTCTGACCCTCTGGCTCTCTGTGCTGCCCTTCTCTCCGAGAGAGAGCCGAGGGTGTGCATGCAGGCTCTTGGCTGTGCTCTGCGGTGCCTGCTCAGCCCTGCCACGTTTCCACCCAGCGGCTGCAGAGGGAGAAGCGGGCTCTCCTGCAGCTAAGTTTCACTTTCTATCCTCCCCAGCTGGGCAGCGGGAAATCAAAACTGAACGCGAGTTGGGGCTGTGCTGCTCAGGGGCGACGCAGCGCCGGTCCGGGTAGAGCAAGCGAGCCCTGCCCATGAGCACAGGTCCCGGCGGCGGCGGCGCGGCGCGGAGCGGAGCAGAGCAGAGCGACCACCCCCCGTAAGTACCGCGCCTCGGCCCTCTGCACCGGGCAGCGGAGCACTGCAACCAGGTGTGCGGGGTGTCGGGAGAAAGACCGCAGGCAGACGAGGCTCTTGGGGTAAAACCCAGATTTTTTTTATTAGACCAAATAAAAGCCAAGTCAAATTTGATTAGACCAACCAAAATCTTTTTGTATGCAGTCTCTAATGAGGCATCAATGAATTTAGAGTGTTATAACTTTCCTTGGGTAAATACGATATCTTGTGTTAGACCCACTGAAGTTTTAGTTGGTCTAATACAAGGAATCGGATTTACCTTAAGAAAGTGATAATCTACATTCATTTAAAAAATCATAAAATTTTAGTTGGTTTAAGAAAAGATACCAGCTTTGAAACCTTGTCTAACTTTATCCCAAAGTTTGTAGCCGTGTCGGTCTCAAGACATAGGCAGACAAGGTTCTTTGGGTAAATCCGATATCTTTTCTTAGACCAATTAAAATTTTAATAAAATAAAATGGACTAATACAATTTTAGTTGGTCTGATAAAAGATATCAAATTTGAAACCTTATCTAATTTTATCCCAAAGGCTGTAGCTGTGCCCGTCTAAGAACATAGGCAGACAGAGGTCTTTGGGTAAATCCGATATCTTTTATTGATCTTTAGTTAAAAGATAACTTCTATTAGATCAATTAAAGTTTTATCGGATTTACCCAAAGAAAGTGATAACATTTTAAATTAATAAAAAAATCATAAAATTTTAGTTGGTCTAATAATAGATATTGGATTTACCCAAAGAACCTTGTCCACCTATATCCTTAGACTGACACGGCTACAACCTACACCCCAAAACATGTAGGATAAAGATCAGGCATGAGAAGGACCTGGCAACTTAACCTCCCCAACTGCCTGCAGAGCATGTCTTCCATAGGTAACATCTTTTATTGGACCTGCGTAGCTGGGATACAGTTAAACAAATGTGAGCTTTTGAAACCTTGTCTAACTTTATCCCAACTACACAGTTTGTTGAATAAAAGATGTCACCTTAAGAAATCCTTGCCTTTTGCATGGTATTTTTTTAAAGTCTTATGCAGCACTATATAGAATGATTTTTTAAAATTATCATTCTTATATATGGTTTCCCTGCTCTCTCTAAGAGAAATGTGTGACGTTGCATGTACCATTATAGGGCTATTGCATTTATTATCCTATTATAAGGAAAATTCTTAACCTGATCCTGAGAAAATTCTGATCCTGAACTGATTCTGAGAAAAACCATAAGGATTTTAATGCCATTACCAGCATCTTTTCCCCATCTCTGTTCCCAGGGAAAAAATGTCCTTATCTGGTTTTAGTGGGGTCCCTTGTCAGAGACCCATCCAAGCCTATCAGGCTAGTGTGGTCAAAGTATGCAAGGTTTTAAAGCAGCTCAAAAGGGAGTGACATACCTGGTATCATAACTGGCTTCCCTTGATTCCCTAGACCTAAATGACTACCATCCCCTTTACAGCTGGATTGAATATCCGTGGGAGGAGGGGTGGGGGAATGGCATGAGTCCAGAGTAGGACTGGACTCACAGCTCTGGAGAAATAGTGTAATGCCTTAACTGCTTTTTGACAGACAAATTTCTTTGGGTAAATGTGATTTATTTTATTAAACCAACTAAACAGTTGGAAAAAATGTTCTTTACAAACTTTTGGGCACAACCACCATTCTTCAGGCATAGGGAGAGTCTGCTGGTGTTTGTGTACTCTCCTGGGTGGAACAGAAGCTTAACTGCTCTTCTGCACCCCACTCCCAAGCTTTCTAGGACAAAGTCTTTGTGAACCAAGTGGGACCCTTAGGGATCTGCTACAAAATCTGTTTTTAAAATATTCAGAGAATTGTGAAAAAAGGGAAGAAAACTTTTCTACTGATTTCTAAATACTCCGCTGGAAAGCAAAGGTACTGTATTAAAATATGATGTAAAATCTTAAAGTTTCTATGTTGTCTGAAAAAATGTAACCTGATAATTTAGCAATAATGCATTTTTTAGATTAAGTAGCTCTTAATTTAAGTGCTCATAACACATGATGGGAGGGCTGCAACTAATTCTTTTCTTTCCCTTTTTGGTTTGGTGGCCAAACTGGAAAAATATGAGTTTGGTCCAAAACTCTTCATCGCTCTCAAGCTTTTCTCGGTTCCTACTATTGTTATAACTGCCCTGTATCTAACCTCTGTTCTGTCTTTTTCTTGAAGGCTCACTCTATAACCCGTTAAAAAAATCCTTTTCACCTACCCAAGTCTTCTTGTTCTGACTGGCCTGTTGTTCTCCTCCTCCTCTTTCCATAAATTGTGATTGCCCCCCTCAAATCATTCCATTTCTTTTCTGTCTCTATCTAGCTCTCCCCCCAACCCCAAGGTGGCTGTTGAATAGGCAATACTTTTTGATTGAAAAAATTAACTCCATTCACAACAAAATGTCTCTGCATGCTATACAGTTTAATATAAGTTGTTCTACACTTTTTACTGTTATTTCTGATAACATTATATAAGGTACTAAAATATTCACTGAATCCTAGAAAGCAAGAGAGATATAGGTTGGTGATTGGGGCACACACACAGCTCCCTGGCACTGCTCCAATAACTATTTATGTATTTAGTACAAAATAGAACAGCAAAAATTGAGAGCACCCTTCACCCTTCTTCCACCTACTTACAGACCAGAATCCCCTGCAGTGTAGTCACTGGCCACTTTTCTTAGAAGGAAGGTGATTCAGATTCAAAATATGGTAAGTTCTGACTGTGCAGAAGCAGAAACAGCCTAGTCATCTCACATCCTAGTTTGTGGCTTAACCACTGGGCTAGCTGGTAAAAAAGGGAACCACCTCCTTGTCAGGCAGTTTTATGAATCTGATTTTTTTTCCCAGTTGAAACTACCTGGTGAATTCAACACTATTTAGCAAATTTAAATTAGCCAGATAGCTTTAGGATAACCACAGCCACTTTTTTTTATGCATTGAAAAAGTTTGACTTTTTTAGAAATTGTCTGGTTTGCTAATGCACTATATGCATTATAGACTAATAATATAAGACTAATATAAGACTAATAAGATATATTAGACATATATAGACATATAAGACTAATGCACTATAAAAGGCACACCGGAAATCTATCAAAGACAGAAATACCCAGTTAACTGTGGGGGCACATTCCTCACAAGAAAACCACTCTCTCTCCAATCTCTCAGTCCTGATCCTCAAAGGAAACTTACAAAACACTTCCCAGAGACGAGCCTATGAACTCCACTTCATCAGTCCCCTGGATACTAAAAATCGTGGACTGAATATAGACATTGGATTTATGACGCATTATAACCTGCCTGATACCTTACTCCCCAGGTATCTCTCCACTATTCATCCCCCTTCTCTCTCCTTCCCTCCCCCCCACCCCTCCAGCCTGTCTCTCACCCATTGACTCCTCAGTCTACATTTTCACGGACTACCTGTCTTGTATGCATACCAGCCCAGCCTCTGGCTTCTTTACTTTTCATTCCATCCAGGAAGAGCACACACCAACTGCAGAAACTTCCTTAGCCTGGCGAAAGGTTTTTGAACCCAAAAGTTTGCTTAATAATTGTTTTTCTAACTATTTAAGTTGGTCTAATAAAAGATATCAGATTCGCCCAGAGAACCTTGTCTGCCTATAAAAGGAGACATTTAGCCACTTATCCTAAAAATTTCCCCATCTCTTTATAGATTACAACCAGGTTTGCCTGTATTTTAGAAGGTTAAAGGTGTCAGTTACTGTAGAAACTGCAGTTTTCTCTCTTTCTTTTCTGATTCAGCCTCTGTTTTTTTAAGTGTTGCCCTGTTCTCCTCTGTCCTCTCTAGCATTCCTTCCCTTCAGTATTCTTTCTCACTTTTGATCTCTCTGACACCTCCCCTCTATTAATCCTTTTACTTTGTCTGCCTTCCCTTTTCTCAGCACCTTTCAGTCTTTTTTTTATTTCCTCTTCTCTTCTATAACCAATTAAAAATACTTTTCACCTGCCCAAATCTTCTGGTTCTGACTGGCCTGAAGTTCTGGTCCTCTTTTTTCATAAACTGTAATTGCTTCCACAAATTTTCTCCGCCTTATTTTTGTCTCTATTTAGCTCTCCCCCTTACCCTCTCCCATGTGGGCTGTTGAATAGGAAATGTTGCTTGCTTCCTGGTCCCTGTGCCTGTCTCAGCTAAGACTTTGTGGGTGTGTCTACACAAGCTATTAATGTGCTTTAAGATGACTGGGTGTGTCTGCATATTAATTAATTCACCATAATCACGGCGCGTTACATTTAGTACTTCTAATAACAGGTAGTACCTTAATGTACTGTAATCAGCATTGCTGGACAGTAGCGCCAGGGCATGTTTTTTTTGTGATGCTAATGTGCAGTAGGGCTGTGCAAAACGGCACTGTTCCATTTTGACTTCAGTTTCGAGGTTTGGATGGAACAGTGTTTTGTTTCAAATTTGATTTTGAGTCGAAACAGCTGTTCCATTTCACTTTGTCGAAACAGTGAGGCTGTTTCGATGCTGTTTCAACGTTTTGCCCGACCATCTGGCTGGGGAAAGGAACTTCCCATCCCCAGCCTGATTTAGCGTGGGGGATGGGAACTCAGCCCAGCTGGGGAGGGGCTGGGAAGGGGAACTGAGCAGTTGGCTCAGTTTCTTTCCCCAGCCTGATTGCAGTGCAGGGAAGCCTGCACTGTGATTGGCTTCCCGCCGCCCGGCGCTGGGAGACGGGGAGAGCCAGGGCTGTGCTCCAGGCTGCTGCTGGAGGCACAGCTCTGGTTCTCTCCTGTCTCCCACCACCTTGCTGCTGGCTACTTTGAAACTTTTGAAACATTTCAACTAACCTTGTTTTGTTTCGGGGCTGTTTCGAAGCCCTTTGTTTTGAGCTCAAAATGAGTCGAAACAGTGTCAAATTGAAACAGCTGGTGAAATTTTGCACAGCCCTAATGTGCAGTAGGCTAATTCTACTGCACATTAGTGCATTGGCACAATTTTTGCCTGCCGGGCTATTGTGCAGTAGAATTAATCTAGTGTGGATTTACTGTGTTGTGTAAATGCTCCCACTGCACAGTAAAATAAGGTACAGTAAGCTTTCCGCAGGAGCATGTCTATACATGGACCTGTTGGGAACAAATTT